CTCATTAAAGTGGGAACTTCATATTTCCCATTGATTTTGTTGTCCTAAATATAGAGGAGCCATGTGATACAGCATTACTTATCTTGGGTAGGTCATTTCTATCAATAAGTCGAGCCGTTATAGACTTTGAAAGTGGCGAACTGACATTGAGAGTGGAAGATAAGCAAGAGAAGTTCAAGATCTACAACACTATCGAGAATCCATTACATGAAGAGATCAGCAAAAAGGTTAAGGAATTGTGCAAGTATATTGCTACAAATGTGCAGCAAGGCTAGAGATAGACGGAGCCTAAACATCTAGTAAGCGTTCGACGAGAGAAGAATAGATAGTTCAAGGTTTGGAGGGCAAAACAAGGATGCAATGTCGAAAATTGTAAGGAATGCAAAAGCTCAATATACGTGTTTAAGCCACTATAATCAATTCATTAGTACAGTCTAGCTAAAGACTATAAATTAAGTACTTATTGGGAGGCAACCCAATTTTCTAACCCTTTTATTTATTTTGCTTTCTGCATCGCATAACGTATAGATTTGTTTTGATTACTATGTTGCATTAGATTTATGCGCGTTTTAATTTGTAAGGTATTAGCATCCTTAATACTCCGTTTATGCCATTGAATTTATTGTTGGGGTATTTTGACTGAGGTCTAAGTAACACATATTATAGGTTATTTGATTTTTAATGTTTGATTTGAATCGCTATATGCATGAACATGACGTCGCGGAACACTCAAACCAACATAGACCAAAATAAAAACATATTGGAAAAAAATTGCCTAGTCGTCACACATAGGGTCTCACACATTAAAAAAAAAAATTTTGAGGAGTACCTTCTTTCTTTTCTTTCCTACCCTTTTATGTGCTTATTTATACTTTATGACATTGAGGACAATGTCGATTTTAAGTTTTTGGTGGAAAAAAAATTTAATTTTTGTGTTTTCTTATGTTTTTATGTTTTTGTGTGTTTGTTTTAGTTAGAAAAAAAAAAGAAAAAAATTCAAAATTTCAAAAAAAAAAAAAAAAAAAAAAAAAAAAAAAAATAATAATAATAATAAAATAAAATAAAATTATCGCTCAGATTATTTGGGATTAATGGTATTTGAGAAGATTTTGATAGAGATTTAGTGTTAATTTATGAACTGTGGATATGTTGCATGTTAGATTGATAGAAGTTTTAACACTGCAAAACTTGATATTATACGCGCACTAGAATTGAGTTTGACATTATGATGAACAGAGTTTTTTCATACTTTTGATAGGTTGATTTAGTTGGACATAGATGATTTACCCAAACTATACTAAAATAATTATCTTTAGACCAAATTTAGCACAGTTTGAGATTATTTCACTATTGTATGAAGATGCAGATGTGAATGTGGATTCCTTGTGTGGAAAAAAAAAGTATTGTGTGGATCGTCTTAGTAGTCATGATAAAATTGGGCGAAAGTCTTAAATTGGAGGTCGATTTGCTTGAATAGGTGTATGATAAGGGAGCATTGCACTAATCAAAACATATATTTTAAAATTTAAAACTTCTCTTTGAAGCCGTTACGACTTGAGTAATTAAGCTTGTAAGGATATTTTAAAACCTGATGTCTTAAAGTCATCTTACTTGTGAGTTATCGGCCTAAAACTCGTTATAGGATTCATTTGGAAAGCAATCAGAGATGAAATTGCCCTTGAAAGAAAAAAATTGTTATTTTCGAAATCTTTTTGACTCGGGTTATTAAGTCTGTAAGGGTGTTTAAAAATCGGGTGCCCTAAAGTCGTCTGACTGGGGAGTCATCGGCTTAAAACTTGTTACATGGATCATTTAGAAAGTTTAAGGAGGAGTGCCCAAAAAAAAAAAATATTAGCTTCAACATTTTTAAGTAAATATTTAGATATATTGAATTTTTTAAATTAACTAGTAATAAAAAATTACTATAATATAAAAAGGCCAAAAAAAAAAAAAAAAAAAAAAGAAGAAACTAAATGCCTTGTTAAGTCTTAACACTTGTTCAAGGAAATTTGACTTTCGACAAAAGGATGATTAGCTTAATTGAGTCTTGACGGTCGAAGCAATCAAATAATTAGAGAATTATTCATTGATGTGTTGACTTGCAACTATTAACGTCCACCTGAATTGGAGAGGGTGAGGATAGTAATGAAAAACTCAACCTTAGATCACATGCTGGGAAAAGAGTGAAAAAGAATATGTTTGGAGTGTGTGAATCTTCCGAGAGATGAAAATGATATATTTGACCACAAAGGATCGGAAATTGAAATAACTTGTGTATTCATGATTGATTACTTAATTCTTCACACATACGTTAATTTTCCATTGGTAAAGTAGACATTAATTTTAGTATTGCAACTTAGAAGCTGTTCGTAGATTTAATATTATAATTTCATATCCCAAGGTAAAAAGCTAGATTATCCTACCAAAATATTTTGCACGTTTGTGTATTTATTAAGTTAGGTTATGGTTTTGTTTGAGGACAAGCAAATGTTTAAGTTTGGGGGTGTTTGATAAGTATATTTTATACACTTATGTAGACCTACAAATATAGACTTTTAATAGTTCTTTATAGAAATTATAGCATAATTTATTGTATATTTCATTTATTAGGTAAAACTCAATGGTTGAAAGTTAAATTGAAAGAAAAAAGAGAAAAACGGTGGAAATTGGCGAAGTACAAAGTTGAGGACCAAATTACAAATATCCAATGATTGAATTGGACCATAAGAGGTATTTTAAAGATTGATGGGATTCAATTGGATACAATTAAAAGTAAAAAAGGAATGAGATATCATCAGAATATTACCATAAATCGACTTACGATTACATGATATATCGTCTAGATTTTTAGTCAAAGATTGCGACCAATTTTTGGTATAGGAAACGTCCGAATTGGAAAATATCTATCTCTAGGAAAATTGTAGCCCTTTTAATTAGCTTTCCAACGTATTTTAAATCAACTCAATCGAATATTGGTAGACAAATTTATGATCAAAATACTGACTGTTGTGTAGAAACAAAAAATCCACGCGCGCAAGTGTAACTTTCCTTATTCGATTGGAATTCTTTTGGAAACCAATTTGGGCGGGATTTTTCACCAATTTTCGACCACTACAGATACCCAACAGGAGAATACATGAAGATGTCTCTCATACATATCTCTTATACATAATATACTCCAATATTCATCAATTATTATCATCAAAGAATGAAAATTCATTGTTTTTGTGAGAGAATTGAAGGGGACTTGCAAGAATTCAATCAAGTGAAGATTCAAACTTGGTATTGGATAAAGAAGAGAGAGCGCAAGTGGAGATTCATTAAGAAACTATTGAAGAGATTCAAGATTTCAAAATTTATCTTTATCTTCTCAATTGATAAAAATTCGGGTTATATCTTTCCACTTATATATAATTTCTTGTAATTTCAATATGTTAGGCTAGTTTTATACATTGTTAGGATGAGATAAACCATTGTTATGATATTTGTAGTTTTTAATTAATTATTTTGACTTTAGTTTGATTTTATTTGTGGATGTTTATTATCGTTATTTTTAATTGTTTGATCACCAATTGAATTGTTAGTAGATTTTATTGTTATCGAGAGAGACAATAGGATTTTAGCACAATATAATAAACATTGTAAGGCTTGATAGAGAATAGAAATATACATCTATGCTTTATATGGTTTCAATATGTTTTCTAACACTTATTAATGCATTTATCATGTGTGCATATTTTATCGAGAGATAGGAGGGTCACATGAGGGGAATAGATTTGATCGTTATCGAGAGAGGCTTTCAATTAAATTAGGAACATCGACTAACATGAATGATTTCAAATTATTAATTTAATTGTTACACTAAAAATAGAATAACAAGGGGAATTTTACATCTTAGCAATATTTCTTATGAATTTGATAAATTTTCTTTACATTGCTTTCTATTAGTTGATAGATTTTATATTGTTTAGTTACAAATTGATTTTGCTATTCGTTGCTATTCGATTAAGGGTAATGTTAGCTTTAACTAAAACAAACACACAGTACTCGTTTTGTTAACTTCAAAAGTGGTCCATAAGTTCAAGTGAAATTTCAAGTTGATTATCAAAGTATTTATGTGACCTTGCAATCAATCAATCCTTTAATAGCATGCAATCTGTATTCGACGTCAACCCATTAAACTTTGACATCAACTAATGATTGTTATGTCTATGTTGTAAAATTACATATTTTTGAAATGAAATGTGATTCTTAAGAAAATAAAAAGCTTACATCTAGCTAAAAATTTCATATCACTCCCTTTAACCCACTCCCTTTCATCATTACAATGCGACAAAGCTAAAACAGGAGACCATATGAAAAGATTTGATCATTTTGATGGTCGTTAGATGACGCTAAGGTTTATGAACTCATCTTCCAGATATGGCTAACAAATAACCAATTATGTAACATATGGATAGGGGACTTTTCCTCCGGTTCAGTCTCATTCTTTCCCTTTTTTTGCACAATAGATTCGAACCGTTGATAATTTTGTTATCATCCAATTGTTTTCAAGCAAGTCCTTTCCAAGCAAGCCGGAGAGTAGGATCAGGTCTCACCAGCTATCTTTGATTAACTTTTAATAAATAAGTAAATCGCAAAATTTTTTTAATAACCAATTTAAAATTTTACTTCAACTTCAATTATCATCAGTAGTGCTATTAACTCATTTCTTAGTTTTAGAGTGCCATTCTAACACTAGATTTAGGGGTGTCAAAATTTGCCAAGCTGCCAAGGCCTAAAACTGGCCGGAGCTGCAGGATATATATATATATATATATAATTATTTATTTATTTATTTA